GCTAGATCGTAGAAACAACCCAAATGCCATCAACTGATTAAATGATAAAGAAGTTTTTTTATACAATGAAGTATTATTCAATGATAAAGGAGGATTTATAGCTAAATGGTTTCACCTAGAGGCCATAAATAGATACTTATGTGTAAATATCATATTGTTTCTCTGGTGTAAAACCTGAAAGTGTAAATAAGGAACAAAATGTATAAATAGGTATTGTGAAATAGGAAGAAAATGTTCAAATGGGAAGGGGCACAAAAGAGGGAGGAGAGAGAAGGAAAGAAAGGGAAAAATGAGGAAAGAAGGATAAAATGGAAACAATGCACTTGTAAATAAGAGAAAAGAAGGATAGAAGTGAGGGGAGGGAAATGTGAAAAAATAAAAATTAAGATATATCAATCATATACAGACATAAATTCCATACAGTGAAGGTGATCATTATGTATATCTAAAATGTACCAATAAGCTTAATTAGTGATAAAAATATTCTAATTTCCAGCCTCCATCCCCAAGCCATTTGGGAAGTGGGGGCGATGTTTACAAAAAGAGGAAGGATTGTATCACAAGCTGAGGCAAATGCGACACACGCTGGATGTCGTCAAGGTGGCGAGTCGTAACAACGCTCAAGGAGACATAATCGTCATCCAGGAAGGTTGGGAGAGAGCGGCCCAGACTAGAGATGGGATGGAAGCATCTGAAGAGGGGCTGTGTGAACCAAGAAGAGGGACGGGAGTAAGAACTTCACGCTGAGCTTAGCGCATGGGGCACGTTACCACCTCTAAGCCCTCGCCTCCTCTGTGAAGCTCAGGAAGTTAACCTCTGTCCGCTGTACTCACCTATTGTGTGATTCGGATAAAATGTAGGCATGCAAATTGCTTGGCAGTGTCTGGCATAGAAAACATGGTGAGGAGGAAGAGGAAAAAGAAGGGAAAGGGAGTAAAACCCTTCTCATCATCATTTTTATGAGGTTAAATTCTTGTAGTTGATTTGGGTATAGAAGGAAAGGTTCACGAAGAATCAAAAGCAGCCATCAGAAGAACAAGTTTTGGGCTCTTCGCAATGGATGAAAGGAGAGGGTGAGGTAGTGGTCTGAGAAGGAAGGGTTATTTCCAAATAAAGAGCCAGCAGAAGAGTGAGAGGAAGGTGGGCAGTGATGCATGGTTTCAAGTCGTGGGTGCCAAGGTGTAGAGACAAGTCTCAGGAAGGAGAATCCCTCAAATGTGAGCGCAGAGAAGCAAGAGCCAGGGAAAGCCAGACACTCCAGGAGGTGTCTGAGATACGGAGACTTGGCTGCAGAGAGCTTGCCCCTGCTCCCGTCTATTTCCATGAAAACGGAGCACCAGGTCCTGACTAACAGCCAGGGAGCCCAGGTGTCCAGAGCAGGGCTCCTCCTGCCCTGCCCAGCCTGGGTGTGCACCTTGTGGCCTCAGGAGGATGTGTACTGCAGACCCAGCCAGTGGGGTCTGTGCCTTCCACCGTGGGCAGTGTGGGGTGCACAGCTGCAGAGTGCTCATGGAGGCTGCTGTGTGCATATTTATTCCCAGAGACCTTTCCAGCTGCTCCCTTCCTTGGATGCCCCTTACCTGCCTTTTAACCGTGAGCGCATACACAGACTGGCCATCAGGAGCCAAACAGAAAACACTGGTTTTCAGTGCCCTGTACATATTTTCTTCATCTTTTCTTGAACGCTCTTTAACTTACCCACTCTCTTACTTGAAAACAATATCACCAAGTTATGCAAATCCAAAAAGAGAAGCAGCGCTGATTCAGGAGATAGATTTTCATCAACAGTGGTGGGGGAGGCTCGGAATCAGGCTGCAGTAGCGTCCAGGGCAGGACAGGAGCAGCTGCAGCAAGACCACACCAGGCCTGGAGAACCTCGCACACGAGAGAGGTCGGGGGGGGCGTTGAGCGTCATCTCACATTTCCACTACTTTGCTCTTGAGAAAAGCGGCCTCGAAACAGTAGTGTAGGAGGCTCGGCTGCAGCTGAGCCATGGTTGAATCCGAATCTTCACAGTCCTGGGCAGAGGACACTTCCTTTCAGATTACCTTGAGCTGCTCTGAGAGCCACAGCAGGCAGAATGGCTGGGAACCATGGTGTCCCTGGGTGTCAGCAGCCTGTCCCACAGCGCTCAAGCCCCCGAGATACTGACGGACATTTACGTGTAGACTGCATAAACGTCCATAAAGCACGAAGGCTTTGTGAAGAATTAACCACCAGGCTCATCGGGTTAACATTGCGCATCTTTCTCAGGCCTCCTCTTTAGTCTTTACATAAGGACCAGTTGGCAGGGCTGGAATACTGGGTAGTTTAAATGCTACCCTGGTTTTCATGAAATCGTGTCCTCCACTTGTCTGTCAAATCGAATGCAGACCTGTCCGAAAAATGCGCGCTGCCCTTGGGCCAGAGGAGACAATTCACTGCTTTCTAACCTCGTCCTGCGCTCCCCACTTCTAGATCCTCTCCCGGAGACCGTGCTTGTCTGTCCACTGGCTGCTGCATCACCGCTGACACATCTGGAGCTCTCTGACTCACGGCAAGGCAGGGTCATTGTGATTAGTTCCGTCCTTTTGCACACGTTCTCCTTGCCTTTCTATCAATCCCCCCTTCATACAGCAGGTGGAGCACAATATCAAATACAATCTTCAAAATCCAGCAGGATCTACAAGAAGCCCCTCAGTGTGTGTTCCTGCTGGCTAGCTGCAGAAATGCCAAGAAAATGCGCTGCCTGAAGATGACGTACTGCATCAGTCCACACCTATAGTGTGGTGGAGACAGGCAGCTCAGTCACCTGGGGAAGTAAAGCCTGTGCTTGCCCCCCCACTTGCTGTGAAAAGGTAAGGGGAAGACACTTTTATCTTCTCCCAGTCACAGCTCAACGTCCCCAGGAGATGCACATCCCCAGGACTGCAGGAAGCACCGTGCACAGAGCAGAGTGCCAGCGGTAGCTTCTGATGCACCGACAGTGTAAAGTACATTTCATTCCCAAAGAGCATCTTATGAAGTGTGGAGCTGCCTCCAAAAAGCCTCTCAGAAGAACACATGTAAACCAAAGATTCACCAGTGGAGGTTTTTTTTTTTTTTCATGTGGAAAAATGAGTCTTCTCCAGTGCTGTGACAGTGGAGGCTGGCCCTGCACCCTGTGCTAGGAGCTGGTTTCATTCTCTGCCACACCCAGCCCCGCCTGAGTCTCTCCTGTACTCTGCAGAAGGCTGGCAGGCTGCAAAGGCAACGCCCACTCCACCCCCATACTCACCGCCCTCCTCCATTAAAAATCTCTCTGTCTGTCTTCGGTTCTGAACCAAAGATGAAATTTTAGATCTATTTTTAAAAGATGAAAGTGTCTGCAGCTCCACAGTCTTCTTAAATATGCAGAGCTAAGCCCTCACGCCTTCTTCAGCATGACTCACCTTTTGGCACAATGCAGCAGCCCTGGGCTTGAACCCTTACCGTGACACTTGATTAGCATCTGCCTGATACATGCTTGTTTTTCAGGTTTTTCTTTCTTTCTTTCTCTTTTTTTTTTGTACTGAACATTGAACCTTCTGCCTGCTGGGCAAGTGCCTTACCACTGAGCTACATCTCCAGTCCCCGCTGCCCACCTGCCTCAACCCACCTGGGGCTACTTGAGAAAAGAAACCAAGACTCCTGGCTTCTCACCTCGCCCATCACTCCCCCACCCACACTGAGCTCATGAGCTGGCTTCCAAGCTCCAGGATGTGTTCACTGCTTGCTGAACCCACTGGGGGTCCAGTACCCTGAAAACAGCCCTAGAAGTTACACACCCAGAGTCTCAGTGGATTTGTTACGGTTGCATCTACACAATCCTTCGGCCAGGCAGCGTTATGGTCCCTTTAGTTCCCGGACCTGAATTCAATCCCTGGTATGAAAAAAAAAGTGTCATTTCTGGCTGAGTAGTCAATCAACCAATAGAACCCACTGATCAGTCTCCTTAACATTTAAGTCTAGTAGTTTTGAAAACACAATTTGTGTTTTAAACACTGAATTTCACCTGAATCTTGACTTCCTTGAAAGCTCATGAGTCAAGAACATGACAGGAGGCCTAGCCCCCCCAAAGCCCCTGTGTGCTGCAGAGTGTGGAGAGATCATGAGGAGGAGATGCCAGTTCAGGAAATAGGTCATCACAGAGTGCTTTTTCTGTGACGTTAGGAAAAAACCCAAACATCTAACATCTTCATTCTTAAGTTTGGGTAGCTTTCAGACAGTCTCAAAATATATGTGTTTCACTCAAACTATGGCTCCTCTCCGTAGGCCAAGGACCCCAGGCAAGGAAGGGCTATTCGGTGCAGAAATCCCTTGCTTAATGAGGATGAATTTCCATTTCTGTGACTAGGTCTCTAAATAAACTGGTCGCTAAATGTGGAATTGTATATAACATGTACATTATAATATTAAGGGCAAAGAAATGGCCAAGGCAAACTCCAACTTGATGAGTCTGCTTTTATTTGCATAATTTTTACATACCATACTGTAATGTATTACAGAATATGAAACTACAGCACTGTACCGTGCAGTGCATGCAGCAAAAATTACAGCACTGTATAAACAAAGTACACTGTACAAAAAAGACACCAAGGCTCTCTAAACCAGATACAAAGAACTGTACAAAAAGAAGATCGGTTGTAAGTCCGGACAGTCATTAAACGGAGACGTCCTTAAACGCTGAATGTCTGCCTAGACCATTGTCCCTTTTTCCTCCCTAGCCTATAGCCATTTCCAGTCCCTCATTCTGACCTGTCCAGTTCCCGAATGATTTGTTTCCCAGGAGGGTCTCAGATGCCCCCAGGTTTTTGGGAAGAGGCAGAAAGGTTAAAATACAAGAGCAGCTCTGTGTGTGTCCTGAGCCAGGCCCGGCAAGCAGCCGCTGGTGCTGGAGCGCACAGAACCACACTCTCCGGTTTGCCGCCGGCTGCTGGACAGGGGCGTGCCCACTGTGGACAGACACTGGGTGACACAGCAGGAAGCTGCGTGCTGTCATCGCTGTGATATTACAGGAATCGCAGCCATGGCTCGGCACTTTATAAGGCTGTGCCAGCGCCCTGAGCGGTGCATTTGCTGTGACGCTCAGCTGCCGGCTATGAGGCTCCATCAGCTCCTGTTTGCGCTGCTCTTCCTGTTCGTGGTGCCTGCTCCAGGTGAGACGGCTGGGGAGTGATAGACGGCGGAGAGGGTTGTCGGGTGGTGCACCTCCTCGCAGTTCAATGCTTTTGTGTGTGTGTGTGTGGCGATGGGATCGAACTCAGAAGCTTGTGTTTGCGAGACAGGTGGCAGAACCACTGAGCCCAGTCCCCGGCCCCTGTCCCTGTCCTTTCTTTGGGAGTTTAGAGGAAACGAAGCCAAGGGTGGACCGCACTGCAAGGGCTTCTCTGTGTCCTGCTCCGGTCTGCTGTGGATGCAGATGGGGCTGTGGGTGGGCGGGGGCGCCTGGTAAAGCTGCCGTCACTTTATTTACTTTTCTTCCTGACGAGAATCCTCAATCACCTTCAGGTGGGTTTCTTGGCCCTTTCTGTCCCATTCTAAATATCTCACAAAAGCTGTCTCTTCACTTACCTGTTCATGGGACAACTAAGAAAGACATGAAAAAAGCGATACGGAATTTTAATTCCGACAGGACAGACTGATTCGTCCTGATAACAGAGGCACAGGTCCATTTTCCTAAGTTTAGTGGTTAGCTGGGCTTGGCAGGACCACTCGAGAGGCCCCAGGATCCCTGGCTTTCCAGGTCCCGTGGTGCACAACTGAGCTGTACCGAGACCGAGCCTCAAGGCTGCTCACAGTACCTTGACTGTTTTCTTGATTTTTTTTTTTTTTTACCAAAGAAGAAAGTAGCAGATACAATTATAAAAGAAACACCATACACGAGTTATTCGAGGAGTTTCAAAGCCCGTGTACTATTTCCAAAATGTCCTCATGTGTCGCTTTCTCCCTGCAGGTGAAGGAGGGCTCATAAACGCAGTGCAGAGATACTTTTGCAGAGTGAGAGGCGGCCGCTGCGCTGCGCTGACCTGCCTTCCCCGGGAGACCCAGATAGGCCACTGCTCCCTCAAGGGCCGGAAATGCTGCCGAAGAAAGAAATAAATGCTCTGGAAACACGACGGACATGTACAGTGGGGAGATGCTTTCTTAAGGTGTATAAAATAAAAGTGAATTAAATATTTTTTTCAAGAAAATAAAAACTTAGTTAAAAAAAGAAATCCTGGCTCTTGTGGTAGCTGTTACCGAAAAGACTCCACGAATTACTCCCCTTCTGGTCAGAGGAAGCAGAATCTCTCTGGGAATCTGCACAGTGCCTGGGCTCATCTTGCAAAGGTTGCCAGGATCCGTCTCATCTTTGTAACTTCTCACCAGCCTCCTGTTCTCCTGAAACACTCCTCTGCCTCCTGTTACTGTGCCCTTGCTCCTTCTGAGGCCTTCAGCTCTTCAGATCTATCTCCAGGACTTCAGCGCACCCCTCAGGGCCTCGCAAATCCTTCTGAACTCTTCACTCCTCGGAGAAATGGATCCTGATTCTGCCTCAAACACCCACTTGGCGTGTCCCTCTCCTGTGCTTCTGCTCTGTTGGTCTCACAGTTGCCGTACACTCAGCCCTCCCGTTTTGTCTCTAATATTTAACCTACCCCCACCCGGGGCTGTCTCAGAGTCTCCTCCTGAGACACAGCTGGTTTTCCAGGATGAGCCGCCCTCCCTCTGATGTGGTTTCCACTTGAGTCCTCCACCCCAGATCTCGCTTGGTCTCCGCACACTGCCAATCTCCACATCTGGCTGCAGGAGGCTGACGAGCAAGGACCTTGCCTTGTCGCCTGTGTGCTGCTCCGCAGGCGCTTGCCGGCCGGAGCGTTCCGCATCTGTGCGCACGCCGGTCAGCTGGGCAGTGGGGTGGGGTCTGTGCTCTCTGACACCAGGCCTCGGGCAAAGGGACACGGACGAAAGGCAGCGTAACTGAGCTCGCAGGAAGAAGACAGCGAAGAACCCCACATAAGAGCTGCACCTCATCTCCCATCACCAAAGTTTACTGCTCAGGGAACTGCCCTCCCACGGGGCCTAGGGACGGAACTAGGTGGAAGATGTGAAATGGTTGCTTTCACTCATCAGGCAACAGTGCAAGACCGGGGCTGCAGAGAGAAGGGAGGAAAAGCAGCTAGGCTTATGACTGCCCCTGCCCACGGCCAAGGCACAGGGAGCAGAATTCACACAACCAGCAATGCCGCAGAGGGGAAGGGATGGAGACCAGACAGCAGGGGCCACCAGGTTCACAGGACAGAATTCCTGGGACAGGGGCAGCGTGGGAGGAGCAGAGCTACTGAGGACCTTGGGGTTGGGAGCAGGCATCGATCTTGGCCTCAGTGCTGAGCTAGTGCACGTAGGGTAAGATGACATCATAAGGCGGGAGAGAAACAAAACCCCAGAAGAGGTTGGAAGTCAGGTGCAGGAGCACAGACAGGCTGAGCGTGCATCCCCACCAGCAAAACAAAGCCCTCACTCTTTGGAAAGGAAGCACATCAGCAACGCTGCCACTGGGGTCCATGGAAAACTGTCTGCAGCACTCTACCGAGGCTTTGCAAATCTTTCTTCAAAGGATCAAAGTGGCCTGCACAAAACTTGAATGTGAACTGGAATAAAGCCTGTCTTTCTCTGAGGGAAAATCCATCACATGCTAAATTAGGCTTTTTGGGGAACTAAATCCAATCAAAGCCTATCACAGGGGGAGAAGCAGGGAATGTGGTGATAATCAGGAGAAAAGTCACACAGTAAAACAGACCTGGTGTTGGGAGACACTAGAGTTAGCCAAAAGGGATACAAAGGAGCAATCACCAGCTTTATAAATTGTCCAAGGCTGAAAGGAAAAACTGTTCACAGTGAGGAGAGAGATGAAAGATACAAAGAATGAAATGAGACTTTTGGGTATGAAAAATAAATGCTGAATTGTATTCATAGTGTATGACATGAAAGGAGAACAGATCTACAAGCCTCCATCTGTGTCAGTACTCCAAAAACAGAACAAATAAGGCAAAGAGAGACAAAAAGGACTAACATAAACCCACAGTGACAGAAACCTCAATCAGTGTCACGTGTGTGTGTGTGTGTGTGTAAGTGAGAAAGTCGTGGGAGGGAGAAACAGCAGAGGAAACAATGGTGATTTGTTTTCCAAATTTGATGAGGCTCTAAACACACACATTTAGGATCTGAAGTAATCCAACAGAATAGACTCAAAACCACATCGAACCTATCAGTGATACAAAGAAACACGCCCAAAACAGGCCGGGAAAAGACACATCCCACAGAGAACGGAAGGGAGAACAGAGCAAGCTGTGCAGCGTCTACGTGAGCCGCTGCGAGGACCTGAAATTCCATACCCACAAAACTGCATTTCAGAAGTGATGGGAACAACGTTTTCTGACAATAACAACGAGGAAAACTAAAGGAATTCCTCACCAGCACTGAAACATTCTGGCAATAAGAAAAACTATTCATGAGAGTTCGGCTCTGCAGGCCAGAATGGAGCTCGCTGTCCACATTCCGCAGAGGCAGAGAAGTCAGGCCAGGAAAAGCCAAGGCCCAGTGCAGGCCGCCTACGAGCCCCACTGTGTTCATCGACCGTGAGGATGAGGGAGGGCAAAGATGAGAAGACTAAGTCAGGAATTGGTGCACATGCATAGGGGCCACAGAATGGACTGTATCAGCCATCAGAGTGTAGATCAAAGCAGGCTTCAGGACAAAGAATACTACCAGGGATAGCAGGGGGTTATGTTTCCTAATGGAAAATGCTTAAGTCACCAAGAACACAAATCAGTACTAAGCCTGTGTGTGCCTACTAACAGAATTTCAAACTTCTAAAAGAAAAACAGTAAAAATGAGAGAATGGAAAAATTGATGACTACAAGTGGATACTCAGCACTCTGTCATAGTCACGAATAGAATGATCAGACAAAAACCAGAGAACTTAAGGATGACTTGGACACCAGTACCACTCAATGGGACCTTTTGAAATTTATAGAGTACTCCACCCAGAATGGTGGAATGCATTACTGTGTCACTCAGCACAGTCCTTACTATAAGGCAAGTTTCAAAGCACCCCAAACAATTTAAAACCACACAGAATATACTATCTAGTCACAGTGGGATTTACAACATATTGATAGAAAGACATCTTGAAAAAATTCCCAATTATTTAGAAGTCAGCTTGCTTTTAATTGTTCAAGAATAAATCACAGGAGAAATCAGAAAATATTTTGAAGTGATCAAAAAGGGAAACAGGATTGCCAAATTTATAGCAATACAGCTACAACCGTGCTGAGAGGAAATTTTATAGCAACAGATATTTCTATAATACAAAATAGGAAAATACAAAATGCTAGAAACTAGAAAAAAAGTTAAAGTAAATAGACAAGATAGAAGCAAATAAATAAAATAGGCACCAATAAAGTTTTTAAAAATAAAAGCTGATTTTGAGAGGATCTATAAAAACTTTATAGCTCTCACGGGGTTCACTAAGGAGAAAAATATAATTCTCAGATACTGGCTTCCGGCAAGCAGACGGTGCCTTGGGCAAGGAACTACCACAAGGTGGCAGTCGTGAGCAGCCACGTCCCTGTCCCTTACAAAGTCACCCATGTTCTAGATCCTGCAGTTTTCTGGAGGCCAGGAAGGATGGCAGCAGCACCAGAGGAGGCTGGCGTTTGCGGAGTGGTGCTCCAGCTCTGAGGTGGGGGAATAGAGGGGCAAAGTCATCACAACATGGCTGCAGAAGGGAAGACAGTAAGGAGAACTTGGAAGACAGGCTGGTTTCCTTGGTGATAACCTAGCTGCCACTTGACCTTGAGATGACCTTGGACGGGTCTCAGCGCTTGGAGGAGCACCCCTCCCCGCCCCCGGTGAAACTGGACCGCTCTTCCTGGAAGTTTGCAGATGAATAATATCACATATAACAGCAGCCGTGAGAGGGCTGGCTAGTGAATTTGCAAAGCTAAAATCAGTGTTAGAGGCAGTGAGAGATAAGCTTTTTCTTAAAAAAAAAAATATACATATATATAATTTATAAAATGTAAAAAGGATAACAGTTATAGAAAAATAACATAAGCTTTCAAATGGTAAAAGGATACATTTGGTGTCATAATTTTAGCAGACTAAATAATACTTTAGTAATAGGATTGCAAATTCATCTGTTACATCACCAACATCTACAATTGGAGAGGCATTTTTGTTTTTTTTTACAAAGATCCGCTGATGCCCTGGTCAGAGGTAAAGAGTACTTTACAAGAAGTGTTGTTGTCAAGATAATTTTGAAACATAAATCGTAATGTAGCCAGAGTTCGAAATTTTCTGTGAAGAAATTATTAAAAGATTTAACTGTTTAAAGATCAGTTTCATGTAACACCAAATTGAATTTTAAATTGTTACTTATACAGTGGAATTTCGACATTTCTTCTGCTGTTTCCAGAAAAATGTGGAGGCCTAGTAAAAGCGAAAATTCCTTCATGATTTGTTGACACAAAACTCCTATCGGCGCATTCAATGGCTGTGGCTTCGGTAAGAGACAAAATGTAATTTTAAAGTCGCCCTTGACTATCCGAAGCTCATGTGGGAGCAGCACTTCGCTGCTGCACGCTGCTGTCCATGTTTCATTTCCACGCTGAGCCCCCCGGGGGAGCCCCAGGGACCTCTCAGGCACTCCCTGCCTGGCTCAGCGGCCCGTACTTGGCCTGCGCATTTCCTGGCATTTTGTTGCCTGAGCACTGGGGCTGTCCTGGAGCTCAGCCCAGGCACGAATGAGGGTTCTGGGGCTGTTCTGGAGAGGGAAAGGTGTGGGGTCCCAGGCCTTCTCCTCCTCTCCCTGCAGGCTTCAGGTCACTGTCGTTGCTCCAGCAGCCATCCCTGCCAGTAGCCTTTTCCCGCTACCCAGGTGGGTGCTCCAGGCAGCCAGGCCAGCCTCCCCAGGCCCTGGGCCTGTAGAAGGGGACCTGGCTCTGCTCCCTCCCCGGTCTCTGCTTGAGAAGATCACCAGCTATCAGTCGTGAGGGTCCTGTGCGTCACCTTCACCCTATTCTTGGTGTTCCTGCTCACGCTTCCAGGACAGCTAGGGGATAAGACTGTTCACCATGGAGACGAGGGAGAATCTCTCCCTCCCTCC